ATTCCAATCGCGCGGTTCTCCCTCACGGGTATGCTAGTAAATCAGGACTCGCGCTTTGTGGTAAACCGGCTAAGAACCGGGGAGATGGTCATCACCGCACCCCGTGGCCTTCCCGCACAAAATGAGGCGCTTCTCATCGAGTACATCAAGGATGTTTGTGCTTAATCAGATAAGAGATTTTCGTAGTAGCACAAAACAGCCCTTGAAAGTGACCTTCCGAGGTATTATTAAGTAAAAGAAGCTTGTAAAATTTTTGTCACATAATCGCGCTAAACTTATACTTAAAGTTCAGTATTTTGGTATGTTTCTACCAGACTGCTGCTGATTTCGATGTTTCAAGAACTGTCTTTGACAAATATTAATCAAGCGAATTGTGTCGGATTTTTTCCCCTCTCTTCATCTCCCTTTTTGCTAGACCGAGTACAAGGTGCTTGATTACTTTGTAGCGCTTTATTTGGCATGGGGAATAAAACAAGGTCGAAAGCATCGCAGAAAAGAGGAGATATTGTTTAATGTTTCCCCGTCCCTGAGACACACGTCTTCTTCAGCACAGAATCAAGTGTTGGTCCGCTTGCATGTAGAGGACTAATGGATACTATATTAAGGCAGGAACGTTAATGAGGATGACTCCAAGCGGATTTGGAACAGTTAAGATCAATTAAAAACTGTATTCGTTGAACGGTTTCGGTGGTGAAAAATGGAAAAAAAGTCGACTTGAGGTGCATTAACTTCATCTGAGTACTTTCTTTTAATGTTAACCATTCCTCTTAACATCATCCCATTTGTAGGTGCTTCTTTCCAAACGAAGGTACGCGAATTGCATCGGTGCTGATAAAGACCACAGCTGGTGTCATCCCGTGTTTGGAGGGTTTTCGCTGTAGTGATGGGTCCTGTATTTCGTCTTGGCAGCGGTGCGATGGTCAGGTGAACTGCGCTGATGGCCTCGACGAGGCGAACTGTTGTGAGTGGCACCTTCCACGGATTTTTTATGATGACTATCAGTTTCAGTAATGTTTGAATTACACAGCTGTTCGGTTGAAGAATTTTTGTTACCAGGTAGTTTGTTTGAAATGCCGTCTGAGCAAACTATAGGATAACCTTTGCAGACTAAATTCTTTCTCATGCTTGGTTCAGAAAACACATTATATGGGCCAAACATGAAAGTCTACACTCTTAACGTTACAACATTAGGAAATAACGTCGCATCTCTAAAGGAAACGCGTTAAAAATGCCAAAAAGCAGACTACCGAACTAATGCACCCTGTGAACTACCTTCCGCTATGCTTATTGCATCAACAATAAGCAACATTTTCGGCGAGTTCGACTTTCGAATGTTCTCAATCTGCTGAGTGAGTAAGAAATGACAAAACTCGCACCTCTATCTCAGCCTGCCTACTTAGTTTTGTTTGATCCAACGACACCCACCGCTCACTAACTGTGCCACTGTCAGCATTACGCAATTTGCTTGTTAGTGTTGTTCTCGTCGACAGTAAATCATCCCACAAGAGATGCGTAAACCTCACCAACTTGACATTAGCATTTATACTATTGCAGTCCTTCTGGCCTCTTCAACTTTCGTGAGAGGATACTTAGCCTGGAGACACCACATGTAGAGTTTGAGCCGAACCGCCAGTGATGACTGTGTCAGTTTTACCTGGCTTGACTTGAATATTGGTGCCATGGCTGGTCTCGCGCTGGTTCCTTTCAACAACGGCCGTCTTTTACAACAGAAGCGTTCCTTGTTTTCTGGATCCTCAAATTTGCTATAGGGCATTATTTTGAAATCAATCCCATTATTAAAGAATATTTTATAATTTCAACTTTTAAATGAAGCAGAGGAGTAAATTTGCTCTATGATGGGTTATTGTCAAGTTTACAATCATTTGCGTTTCTTTCTCGGATTGTGTAATTATGGCAGAGATATCTTCATGTGGGATTTAATGTTTTGCGCACCATTTTTTACATTCACCTATTTGTCGATTATTTTTCCTCTCTACGTCCAATCAACCCAACATTCATACTTTAACTACCTCCCAGCTTGCGGAAGAGTAATGATTGAGCCTGAGAGGATTGTTCGACGTCCGTGGGAGGCCTTTAATTTTACCTGTACGGCCTCCGATCAACAGCGTCCAATTGTTGCCCTCAGGGACACTTACACGCAGATCGATGGAATTTCCGGACTTATCGTGGATCGGCCCTCTGAAAGCACAATCACCGTCACTGCTGGCCATGGCCTTCGAGAAGTCCATGGAAATATGACGTTTGAGTAAGGTTTTGGATTTTGTTTTTTGAGCCACTTGGAGAATAACTTATTTTACCCTGGCGTATATGATTATCAAACTGACTATAATGGGCGGTAAAACGTTTGCGAGGGTCTTGGCTCAGTCTGTGAAAGTAGGCAGCTTGAGCGATGCAGTTTGCTCCGGCTATCAGCACTTCGGCAGCCGTTGAGCTGTTGTGGCATTTATTGAAGACGCTGCGTTAACGTGAGCCACTTTTGCGTAGTCTTTTGCATTAAACTTCAAACTGGTGGCAAGACAATGCTCAGCTTTGTCTCAGAAAATGCTTTTTGCTTAAGTTCACTAAGCTATTATCTTCCCTATTTATTAAGTAAATCCTAATTGTTAGTCAACGGTGAGCCTGTTTAAGACATTTACCACTGCCTAAAATTTGCACTTCGGTTAAACACTAACACTGATGCGCTTTGCTTTAATCTGGGCCATTCTTAATGCAATTGGCGAAATATTAATGACTAAAA